AAAAAAGAGAGAGAAGAGAGAGGAGGAAGGGAGGGAAGGAGAGAGAGAGATCTGGGGAGCTTGGAGCCGTGCTGTCTCTGGGAATGGCTGCTGTTCTCCTCAGGGGAGCTCTCATCTTCACTTGTGAGCACCACTTCCTGGCTCCAATGTGGATCCCTCAGCCTGGTGTATAGATCATTCTCACTGGCATAGGTTTTCTGGCTTCCACCACTGGCCTTTGGGCCTTCCAGGTGCAGATCCTCAACATGGACAAGCAAGAGACATTGCTGTGGGCTCCAGGCCACTGGCTGGACTCGAGGAGGACATTGTCTTGGACTCTAAGCCTTTAGCTGGACTTGTGTGGGACCCTTCTGGGATTCAGGCTCTCCGCTGGATTGTTTGGCCCTTTGATGTGCAGTTAATCTCTTGAACTCCTTTGCATTTGGCTTTTCGGATAATTATCATAAAATAATCCTATAAATTTTGTGTCCTGAATTTAATGTATTCCCTTGCCAAATCCTGCTGACTACAGCATGCAGTGTTAATTTTTACAGTAGTGGAAAGCATTCTTGCAGTTTCCAGGGTGTTCTTGGAAAATACGAAGGGACTTAGGTTTTGCCCCCTCTGTTGCGAGCAGGTGAATTAAGAGAACTCAAACATGCTATCTCTGGAAATCTGATCTCTTGCCTAAAATCACAAAAAAATTTAAGCATTATAGTGACATATATAGCAGCATTACTTATATTATAAATAGCTTAATTTTCCATGAAGGATAAATACATTTTGGTATATTTTTCAAATGAAATATTATACAATATTTAAAATAAATGTTACATCAGTCAAACATTATTACATTTCCATAAAATGAAAGAAGTGAAAAAGCACATATTGTTGGAAATTTAAGCAGAGAATTCCAAATATCTATATATAAATATGGCAATTTAAAAGAATGGCAAATTCAAAGTCTAAGCCCCAGTTCTTCCACTTAAATTATAAAATTGTCTTACACTGAGTCCTGCAAGCTTTTGTTGGGAAAAGCTCCACTTGCTCCAGACCTGTGTTCTTGTTTCCACTTACAAAACAAACCTTGAGTTTCAAACAAAGTGAAGACTCCTTGACAAACTCTGCCTTGCAATTTATTGCTTCATTGGCTCACTGCCCTTGACAATTAGGAGAAGATTTATATACACGTCCTCAAATAATTGGCAATTAATTGGAGATGGAATGCCAGAAAGTACAGTGTTCTTAATAGAAAGAGAAGATAGAGGCTCTTCGCATGCAAATGTCAAGGAATGTGGAGTAAATGTTAACCAGTAGCATAGCTAACCCTGTCCTTTTGTACATTCCTGGTAGAGAGCAGTTTCAGTTGACAAGCATAGCTGTAGCTGGCTTGACTGGTTTGAACATATCCTCAAGCATAAGCCAAGAGTGTATTAAGGATGCCTTCCAATCCATGCAGTACTGGCTTATCTTGATAGTTATTGTATAAGATGCCTACTGATGTAAGAATTTGCTATTTGTGGGAAAGGAGATACTGATTTGAGAATCTTCTTTGGAACTTTGCTTTTGATGCAAGCATTACATTTGGATATAATAGGCATCTTTGCTATCCATGGCTTAAATGAAAACTGCCAGTGTCTTTTTAATGTCAAGAACTGTTGTCTCCTAAAGGGAATACAAAATCCTAGATTACAGGCAGTAGTAGTTTTGTTGGAAAACATTGTCCTTTCAGTCAAAATAGAAGTAGCATGTATGACTGTCAAATAGCAATGCTTTATTACTTTCTTCTTTGAACTTTAGTCTTAACACAGTGCCTAAAATCTATTAAATTCACAGTAAATGTTTATCACCCAGTTTATAAATCACCACCATTTAACAGCAAGTAGACTTGTACTTACTTCCAAACACACAAGAAATATCTTTTATGTTTAAGACAATAGAGTAGATTTTATGTTTATGTGCCCTTAAAGAAAAATACCAGTTCATAGTATTTTGTTTTATTTTGTTTTTTGGGTATCGGGGATCGAACTTGGGACCTTGTGGTTGTGAGGCAGGCAGCGGAACCACTGAGCTAAATCCCCAGCACCCGCTCCCTTTAACCAGTTCATATTTAGACTGATTTTAATTCCTTCTCTATTCACCTAACACTTGTCCCCTTGACATTCTAATAATTTTGATTTCCAACTTTCATTAAATGCTTTCTCTTTGCCAAGCCCTTTCCGAATGTATCATTACCACTCCATCCTCACGGCAGTCTTCTGACAGAGCTACTGTTATGTCATGGTTCTGTTTTTACGAATGAGAGAAGAGAGGGTCAGAGATGAAGCCTTGTGCTCAGGCTCACCAAGCTAGTACACAGTGGAGCCAAGATTTAGACTGAATCCTGTTTGCCTTGAGGACCCAGCTTTACTTTCTGTGTTTCAAACCAATTTTCTAATGGAAAGGAGAACTAAGTATTTATAACAGTGTCTATCTAGTACACACCGTAGTAGTCATTTGAACATTATGTAAATTTTAAACCTTTGATATTAGCTCTTTCGATGCACAATTCAGTTACAGTTAAATGCACTTATTTTATGTATATGGTTCTATAACTTGGTAGATAAACTCATGTTTTATATCATAATCAAATACTATATTAGCATCTCCCCCCAAAATTTCCTTTTTTTCTCCCTTTTGTAGAACTTATTTTTAAATTGTAGACTCCTGTGATATTATTAAAATAGAAGAGCCGCCCCATGTTCCCCTCATGAAGTTTCTCCCATGGTAGTTTCATAGATCCCATGATCTGAATCCTCCTTTCCAGTTAAGTCTTTGCTTCCCGCAACTCCAGGAAACCAGTGAACTCTTTTCTTTTGCTATAAATTAGTTTACCATGTTCTAAAACTATGTATAAAAGAAATCATACAACATATACTCTTTCTGTCTGGCATCTTTTGCTCAATACTGTGTGCCAAACTGAGGTTTATCAATGTCATTGTATGCATTAGTAGTTTGCTCTTTTTAATTACTGTGTAGCACTTCATTCTTTGAATATCACAGTTTGTCTTTTCACCTTTTGGTGTGCATTTGGGATGTTTAGTTGGGGGCTTTTATAAATAACACTGCTGTGAAGATTTATGTACATGTTGTATGTGTGTACAGACATATTTTCATTTTCCTCATGGAAGTAAAAGTGAAACTGATGGCATCTTGGCCAGTGAAGGTATACCATCATGAGATGAAGCTAAACTGTACTCCCAAGGGCATGAACCATTTCTCAAGCGCACTAGTAATGTACAGGCTTTGTATTGCTCCACAGCCCTGGGAAAATGTGATGCTGTTGGTCATTTTTGTTTTCCATTTTGGTAGATGTGTAATGGGACCTTACTATGGTTTTACTTTGTATTTCTCTGATAAATGATGATGTCTAATATCTTTTCATATACTTAATGGCCAGTCATATGTGCGTGTGTGGATGGATGGATGGATGGATACATAGATAGATAGATAGATAGATAGATAGATAGATAGATAGATAGATAGATAGATTCCTTTTGTGAAGTTATCTGTTTAAGCTCATTCTGGGTATGTAGTAAGAGTATGGAGGCTTTGTCTTCTTGGTTCAATAAATTGTCTTAACAATTGACTCCCTTGAAACGTTGGGTATAATACAACTAAAAATATTTAAGGTGGGCCTTTATTGGTTTATTCCAAAATGAGTGAGCAGCTGTGAGTTATTTGAACATGGTATTAAAATAAAGATTAGTAATTTTCTGCTGTAACTAGGAAATACCATCATCTTAACCATCACTGTTTTCATGATGTATACTTTTTGAAGATGAAGACGATATCATCTGATGACATGAATTTAGTGTCTCAGAAGGTTATTTGGTTGTTACATTGTTTCTCTTAAGCTAAAAATTCTGTTACCTAAGTTTCGTCTTGTGATTTTTATCTGTCATTGAATCATCTTTCTCCATTAAGAGTGACCACTAGAGTTCTAGCTAAGTTGATCTGTAAGCCTTACGTTGATCCTGTAAATTGTAATGTGATTATGATTTTTAAAAATGTGTCTGTTTTCTATGACACTTTTTTGCAATAATATGATTATATTAACTTTTCTTTTGTTCTGTTAAATACAGAGAATTACAAGGAAATAAACACGTAGACCCACTCAGATTACTGTGGCTTAACCAGAACAACAACAATAAAAAAGCAATATGCATCTAGTGTTTAAAAAACAGTAGATGATATATAGAGAGATAGATAAGTTTCCATTATTTCCTCAGGTCAAGTTTGTTTTCCTAATGGAGATCAATATTCAAACTTTTTAATGATTCCTTCCATTAATACATAGTCTCTCTTATTTATTAAATGCTGGGGATTGAACCCAGGGCCTAGTACATACAGCCATGTACTCTACCACTGAACACCCCTAACCCCTCTCCTTTTAAAAATTCGTTTTTACACAAAACGAAACATTATGTCCTGTTCTACATATATCCTACCATATCAGCCCATAAAATGTACCGTATACAGAATAGTTACGATATGGATAAGTAGATCTTTTTTGTTTGTTTGCAAATCTTTTGTCTTTATTTGCTCTCACAAAAAAGCTGTAGTCAGCAGTCCTGGAGATTTGAGTGTATTTGTGCAAGTATATCCACAGGGGAAATTCCTCCCAATTGAATCCCTGGTGAAAGAATAGTATATAATTTGACAGTTATTGCTGGATTGTCTTTCTTGAGCTTTCTACCATTTACTCTCCCATAGATGGTGTCTGTGAGTGTCACCTATTTTTAATGCAAAAGCCTAGATTAAAGCCTTTGTTATTCTAAGTACCTCTTTCCTGTGACACAGGACCCCTGCTTTGTGACATCTTTGCTTGCTTCTCTCCTGCAGAGGGATCCCAAAGCACATTGCCCTAAGGACCACGGGGTTGGATTAGAACTTCTGTATGAGGCTTTCCACCCCCTTTCTTGGAATATCCATCTCCAAGAAGCCTTGTGTTTGATGTCTGCTTTATATATTTTTCACAGGCGGAAAGCTCAACAAGGACCTGCGGCATTTTCTTAGTCAACGATTTCAGAAAGGGTCTCCTGATCATGAACTCCAGCAGACCATAAGGGACAACCTTTACCGCCATGCTGTGCCTTGTGAGTAGCCAGTCTTGGTGTTGCTGTTTTGTGAATGTGTGAAAATCCCGGGAGTGAACGAAGCGCTCAGCATCTGGCTCAGGAGTACTTAGTGGCTTGTCCACTTAACGATGCCAGAAGCCGTACGAAATGTAATTGACAGTGGGACGAACACACCAGTGCCATGGTGTACCTCTATTTCAGTTTAGCTCTGCCACTTCTGAGTTTGCAGTGCTGAGCAGACAACCCTTTGTAAGGCTCACTTTTCAAGTTAGTGGGAAAGGATGTGTAGTAGTCCTGGCCTCTTAGAACCCCTATGGGCAGTACACAGGATGAGGAACATAAGGCATTTATAAAGGCTTGGCCTGTTTGGTGTGGGCCTCTGTTTGAGTCAACCATCAGTACTGTTCATGGACTGGACCTGGCCAGAGATCCTTAGAATGACCTACGGGGAGACCAGTGGGTCCTTACTGGCTATCAGCGAAGTAAATGCCTCAATAGTCTACCCATGCTTCTCCTGCCTTCTGCCAAGTTTATAAATTTATAAATCAGTTTCCACAGATAAAAACACAACAGATAAGACCAAATCTGAGAAAGCAAGATACAGAACATGAGAACTCTGAATGCAGCTTTTGTGTGGAGGAAAGGCAGGTAGCCAGACATTCATTCATTCTGTCTACAGAAAGATAAAGTATCCGCTTAATTGTAGTGAAGTATCACTATGGTCTACCATAGCATATTTCTATATAGTCCGTGCAGTTTTCCCCTACTTACATTGCAGTTTAAGAGACCGGAAGTGAAGCGGATGAGCACACCATCCCTTGATGCATCTGTGGCGTTACCATGGTTATATACTGGCATGTTTTCCCATTTATTTTTTCCACTGATTTATTGGACCTGACTCTGAGCTAAATAGCTTGATTTAAAGCTTACCACTGTGTAGGAACTGGGGCAAAAATTACCTCAGTCTTTTAAAAACAGTAGAAAAATCGTGTTGGTCCTTGTTTGCATAAAGCCCTTAATTCTGTTCACATTCCCAACCCCTTTCCCCTCACTGCTTCAGCCATACAAACTTCTTCTGTCTGCAGCACACTGTGGGTTCTCCTGTAACCTGGGCACACTACTTCCTCCTGTCCCCTACTTTTCTATGTGACCGCTTCTCAGTTTCTCTTATGTTGCAGCTGCTCCCCACCCCCGACCACTCCTCCCTAGCCTCCTGCAGTGGGCCTGCTGCCCTCACTGCTCCCAGAATGCACTCAGGCCTGTCCTGTGCCTGCTACTGGTCTGCTTGTCCAACTAGAATCTCAGTTGGTGAATTGGGTGCTGTATCGCTCTTAGTGACTAGTCCACCCCTAGCTTGGTGCCTGGACTGTTGGATAGTACTTGTTAAGTGAATAAACAAATGAAGAAACGGAAAAAGTTGTTAAATGTGTTTTGGTACTTCAGTGGTGCTTTTGTATGAATGGTCAGAATAAAAGGCAGCTCGGTGGCTTCACCTGGAGATGGACTTCATGTGGCCGGTGAGGACTTTGCTGATCATTGGGAGGTACACCAAGCCCAGAGGAAAGCAGGGCAAGCTCAGGGCACTAGGAGCTGATGTGTCCATTCACAACCCCTCCTAAGTACAGTCTCTATATCACTGTGCCTCCTGCATTGATAGTATCTGGCTCTGTGACTTCTTGACCTAGTTGGTATAACAACATCTCCGATTGTTGCTTTGGAGTGGCCATGAAGGTAAACGCGTTACCTGATGAAGCTTGTTGTTTGCTGTGTGGTTGCTGTCAGGCTTAGACACCACTTGTCCAGCAGTGCTGGTTTTCTGAGATCCTGAGCATCACCCTGTCATTCCTTCTGCTTCTCTGGCTTTGTTCCCAGGAGCTCATCGTTCAAAGGTCATCTGAAAGAAGAGAGGATAAACTGGCTCCTCCTTAGCTTAATATGTTATTATCAAGGCTCTCCCTGATACTGAGACCATTGTAACCTGTACAAGAGGTACAGATCATCGACTTCAATGCATGTACAAAGGGATTAAATGTGTTTGATCGACAAGACAATTGCAATCTGATGTGGTGAACACAGATGAACCTGGTATTTATGGAGGTCCCATATTCACACAGTTTAGCATCTGCCAACATTTAGCGTTGGTTATTATTCTGAGTGGGGCGATAAATTACTTCTAGGACCTTTTGAAACTGTTATTTTCCCTTAAATACAATTGTTTCCACTAAGGCTTGCCTGAAATCAACCCATTCTGCCATGGCCCTTAATAAGTAAAGCTGATGACAAACAAGAGAGCTTTTGATCTTCAGGAGACCAAGATAAATGACCAACTGTGGAAGATAGCTTGTCTCCTGAAATGTGAGTCTCTGTGTCCCAGTTGTGTTCCTCACTGGATAATTGCTTCTGGTTGTACTTCATAAACTAGAGAGTTCTGTGGTTAAAGACTAACCAGGTAAAGGACACTGACAATTATTTTAGTATTGTTATTGTCATTGTCTTCTCAGCACAGTAAGTGGTTTTGTTTTTTTTTTGTTTTTGTTTTTTTGTTTTTTTGTTTTTTCGTTTTTTGAGACAGGGTCTCACTATGTAGTTGAGACTGACCTGAAACTCACTATGTAGCCCAGGCTAGTCTTGAACTCACAGCTATCCTCCTGCCTCAGCCTCCCGTGTGCTGGATTATAGGTGTGCGCCACCACACCTGGCTGGTAGATTCTAAAATTAACAAGGATCTCATTGCCCTTTGCAGTGCCTAGCCTGTGACTAACTAATAATAATAATAATGGTAGATTGCTCTTCATTTTGGGGACTTCTGCTGTATAGCAGGTATCTGCCTCGATCTGTTTGTCCCTGTCATCACTGTCATATCATCTGTAACTCTAGTCTCACCTATGGCACAGTCTAGGATGTGGATTCCAGTCTGTTTGACTCTCACGCCCTGACTCTTTTCTGTTCAATCACAGATGCTTATTGCCTGTAATGTAGTAAAAGTTTCTCTCCATCAGCTCTCAACTATTTCTCTCCCTTCCTCATGTGTTCCTCTCTGGTCTGTGGTGTAGGGACCCCTCACCCAGTGGTCTACCTCCCCACTGTTTATACCTACCTCTCCCTTCTTCTCCATCAAATTTAACTTGCTCTGCATTGGTTTCTATTAACCATCCCTAAAGAAGCCAAGAATTAGAACAAAGAAGTTAATGGTTCCCAGAGTGACATAGAATTTCCTGTCCTCATAATATATATGGCAAAAAATAACTTTACATATGGTCCTTTTAAAAACACCCCATATAATGGGTTCCAACAATAAAGCAGATTCATGGGATAGTGGTAAATTCTTAGGCTTTTGTTTTGTTTAATACTTTTTATAATGCTCAGTACAGTGCTAATACAGAGAAAACAGTATAAATACAAGATTGTGCTTATCAAGGAAATTTCTCTCTATGCTTGCAGTATTACTTCTCTTACATGTTTTCCAATTTCACCACATATAATGTAAAATGTTATTTACTTTTCATAAAGCCTTATAGTGTCCATACAAGGAGTTCTGTGCAAATTAGAAATCAAGGAATTAAAGTTAATACTTTTTGTTTAGACATAACTTGGATTCTAGGATTGGGTTACTGGAGAGGAATTATCATCCACGTGATCAGTGAGGCCTTGAATGGAAGCACGGAGGTTCTTTTTGGTCTGAACCATTTTATTCACAGAAGCCATGGCAATGTGATTATTTCCTTGGCAGAGGAGACAAGTTTCTGTCCATGAGCTTAGGGGAGCATATGGGCCTCCCTGACTCGGGCAGCTCTACTGTGCAGGGCCCACACTCTCTGTGGGGCCACGCAGCAACTCGAGGTGTGCAGGACTCATGGGGAGGTGCCGGTTTCAAGATTGTCCCAGAAATGGGTTGGTTTGTCAGTTTTGGGGCGTGCTTTGTTGACAAGCCCATTGTTAACAAAGGTCTAAAACTATTCTGTCCATATACTTTTTATTAATACTTAAACTGACACTTTAATTGGTGGGGTATCATGCTGTACTGCATAGGCATTGCTTATTCCAGCTGGTGTCAGTGACTTCTGTTAACATTTGGCTATCTTATTTGCCTTCCTGTTTCTTTTTCTCATCTTGCATATCTTATCAGTCTTCTTTGGGGTTATATAGGCTGGTTTTCAATTTAAGCTTTAAAATTACTCTAAAATTCAGGATTCTACACTAGACAGGCATCTGTCTTTTATCACTCCGTGCTAATAGAGTTCAAGTGCTGTTCAAGTATCGTTTCACCGGTTCCACAGATGACGTCACTGGTAGGTATTGCTGTCGTTATAGATGAGATAGAGAGGTCAGAGCCGTGGAGGGGCTCACCTCATATAATGCTTCATAATACAATGCTTCATAATTTGAAAATTAATAATAAAATGAACAAGAAGTGTTTTTTGAGTATCCCCAGTGGTCAAGAACTCTATACACACTTTACTTTCATTATTTGCTTTAATCCACTTAGCAGTGTTTCCAAGTGTGTTATTGTAATATCCATTTTCCAGTGAAGAAACTGAGCCCTAGGTAGGCCCCAGGTCATATACTAAGAAAGCTGAGTTAGATTCCAGCCAGGCAGATCTCAAAGTCATTATCTTAAAGCACCCATGTTATGGTCACTTATCGTATCAGCTAGCTGGTTTAGTTTAGCAAAGTCACATATGTGACAGGAAAGAACATCCTAGAAAGGTGGTGACATCATCCTGAGCTACATTCCGGAGCCCATATGGCATGTTTAGAATCACTACTGTCTTTGTGTGTGTTACTGGCACTTGATATAATTACTCTGAGTCTGGAACATTCAGGGAGGTGGGAGGGGACAGGCCAGCAGATTCTACCACTTAGCAGTTTTGTGGGCATGGCCAGGTTTCCTGATTCCTAGGACGCTGTTGTTGTTCATTATCTGATGGGGACTGCAGAAGCACTCAGGCGAAAGCCTGACACATCCATAGTTTTCTGTCTAGGTCTTCTCTTCAAAGACTTCCATTTAGATCAATCCT